CTCCCCTAAGGGGGGAGCCGGCTCCATTCAAGGGGGGGTGGCTCCTTCCTTTTTTGTTAAAATTGATGGATTTTGGCCATTGTGTTGAGGTTTTGAGGTTCTAGGATTAAATTGGGAGCTATAACGGGGGTTTAAATGATGTTTAAGGTCATACTAAAACTCTAGAGGACATTATAATGCATAATAAACCACATAGAATTAGTGTCTTGGACAATATGAAATTTTAATTAAAATTACATATTGTTGTTAGATGTGGATGGTTTAATTTGCTACCTGTATATTAGTAATTTGTTTATATATGATATAGTTTTATCATGTATTAGGGATATAAAATAAGCATGTTAATGTACATAATTCTACTATGCTTATTATGGATTAATTAATGTCTACATATATTATCAGTATTATCAATTATTGGATTTTGGGAAGTGGTACAAAATAAGCATGTCAATTTACATATTTTGATTATACTTATTATGGATTAATTTACATGTCAATTGTGTTGAGGTTTTGAGGTTCCAGGATTAAATTGGGAGCTATAACGGGGGTTTAAATGATGTTCAAGGTCATACTAAAACTCCAGAGGACATTATAATGCATAATAAACCACATAGAATTAGTGTCTTGGACAATATGAAATTTTAATTAAAATTACATATTGTTGTTGGATGTGGATGGTTTAATTTGCCACATGTATATTAGTAATTTGTTTATGTATGATATAGTTTTATCATCTATCAGGAATATAAAATAAGCATGTTAATGTACATAATTCAACTATGCTTATTATGGATTAATTGATGTCTATATATATTATCAGTATTATCAATTATTGGATTTTGGGAAGTGGTATAAAATAAGCATGTCAATTTACATATTTTGATTATGCTTATTATGGATTAATTGATGTTTACATTTCTTAATTGTATTATCAATTGTTGGATTTGTAGATTATATGCACTAGTATAGGATGGTGGCATATTTGGTATGGATTAGCTCATAACGCTAAGTCTTACCTACTTTGAAATAAGGGAACGGATTAACTATAAAATTTAAGTTCTACTTATGTTCATGTCAGGTCAACAAATAGTTGAATGACATTACTTTGGTTTGGCTGGATTTTAAATACATAGTTATGGTACCACGATATGAGCTTGAGTCTCAGGATCATTGGTTAGGGAACGTCTATGCAGTGGGATGCATAACTGGCTATGATAGTTAGAGGTGTACCCTGTTAGGTCTAGGCACTCATGCCCATTTCAGGTGTGTTTTGCATGTTGCCTACTAGTCAAGTTGAGACCGGCCTATAGTTCAGTAAGAGTCCCTTAGTGTGGATATATATATATATTTATGGATTATATAGCTATTGCTGAGTTGTTTAGGATGTACATGCCTATCGGGTCTCTGTTTGGATTGTAGTAGAATATAACTTACTCGTGGGCTTGACCCACTATCATTTTTCAGGTGTTCGACAGTTCTAGGCTTAGAGTTTGATCGTGCTGAGCAGAGACACTCACTCACTCCTCCGACTACGTAGGACTACTACTTATGCTTTAGTTTTGGCTTTCTTTTAGTCAATTATTTATTTTCCAGCTGAAATATTATTAGGGTCCACTAGATAGATTCCTGAGTTGTAATAATATTGAAGGTTTTGGCAGTTTTGGATTATATAACTTTGAAGGATTTTTATTTAGAATTCTTTCAGCTTATTTATTTAGTCATTAAATTCTTCTTGTAATCATGCTTGTTTGAATATTAATTATTTGGTATCCCTCGGATCTGTACTCGGACTTAATCACCTGTGGCTCTAGAATCGAAGGATATCACAATGGCTCTTCACCATCTCAACAAACAAAACCTTAGTCTTTTGGGCCTTTGGACCCTCAGCATAAGGAAAGGTTACTTTGATGTCTCTGTCAAAAGCATCCGGATCCTTTAGCTTATCACCTGAGCCTTGAATAAAGCCGAACCGGAAAGCCCTTGTACTAGACAAACGCATCAGAAAGGAGTAACGTTCCTGCATATGTTTCCTAACAGTTGTGCAAGTATTAACTGCATCCTTTAAGCGCAGGTTCTCAACTTCTAATTCTTTTACTTTGGCTTCAGAAGGTGTAAGACGACCTTTATGCACGTCTCTCGTATCATAGGCCATCTTGACATCCAAGAGCTCATTAGAAAGCTTCTTTTCAGCAGCAGCAAGGTCCTTCTCTAATTTTTGAATAGAAATAGATTGAGCTTCCGTGGTTGCACATAAGGATATGGTGTGGTATAGATTCTACAAAGTCAATCAAGATATAAGTAAAACGTAGTGGCAAGTAAAAGAAACATGGATTAAGGAGAAAAGACAAACCTCTATAGCCGTAACAGAGGCAGATGGCAGAAGTTGCTCTAACCCTATGTTTCCCATTATTTCTTCATCTTTTGGTAGCCACATCCCTCGGGCAACTGCCAATGCAGTAGAAGGATCTATAACTACTGAATTCCCAGAATGAATGACTAATTTATCAGCCCTGAAAAAGGTGGGCCTCCAAGGTTCCCCTGCCTTTGCTAAGACAAAAACCCTAACCGCCTCATTTGGTTCGGCTTCGTTAGTTTTTTTCCCTTTATTCTTTGAAAGATTAATGCCCTTGTTTCTAACTGCTGAGGAAGAGTTCAATTTAGGTTTTTTCTTTAAAGGAAGTTCTTTAACTTTCTTCTCTTGCTCAGTAGAGCGTATAACTGTAAGGGCTTCGCTTTCTGTAGCTTTCTTCTTGAGAGCTTCAGCCTTCTTCTTTTCCTCGTTAGTTAGAGGAAAACTGTCAAAAGAAAGAAGTGACAAATCCATGAGATCGGCCACTGAAGCACTAGACGTAAGCTCCTTAAGATTGGATGAAGAAAGGAGGTTCTCTACAGAAGGAGGACTGTTCTAAACTCGTTCCTCGAGGAAAACAAGCCTTTTCCTAGTTACAGAAGATGGGAATGTTGCTGAAAAAACACCAAGAAATTCGTAAATATGACGAAAAAGCAAAATCTGACATGGGAAGCAACCAGAGCATTCTGGATGAAAGGAAGAAAGATCTTCTATACCTAATATCCCAAATTTGCGAGGAATAGGAAGTTTATTTGATTGAGACACATACTAATTTCCCCTAACAATAATCATTCTCTCATTCCATCTCTTTTCGGAAGTAGGAAGGTCTGTGCATATCCTTTGTTGAAGAGAAGAAGTAAAGTAATAGCGACCAAGTTCGGTCTAATGCCAGGAAATAGTATAGCTAATCAGTAAGTCAGCAAGGGTCAGATCAAGTCCTTCTAGCCTTCGACGAATAAGAAGAGTCAACACTATTCTAAAAAAGTTAGGGTTTACTTGAAGAGGGGCAATACCTAACTTATTGAAGACTAAGTGATAAAAAGGATGAAGGAAAAAACGAAGGGCATTAAGATGTCTAACAGATAAAAACAATTCATTCTCACCCACCCCTTCACCAGAACTGAAATCGACATCATTTAGGTATTCAACAATCTCTACCCCCTCGGGGATCTCAAACTCTTCCATTACGGAATCAATGGTAAACTTGATGCGCCGGACTGACAAAATCATTTCTTTTTCCTTTTTGGTAAAAATACTGTCCAATCTAGAAGTGGATACCTCTGCTTGAGGCGAGGAATCATCCCCTCTCATAGCAGAATCACTCGTAGCCTCAAGAGGGTTGGAAACCCTAGAAGGAGGAACTCTAAAAAGAACGGAAGATGCTAAAGGTGTGGTTTCAGAATCCATAATCGCTATGTGGTCGTGAGTGGATGAAGTGTTCATGATATTAAATCAGTAAGATAGATGAGAAACTAACCTGATAGTATGACGTAGCAGTGAACGCAATGAAGGCAGAAGCAAACTTTGAAGAAGTTCTTTGGTCAGAATGTCAATAGTCACTTCTAAAACCGCCTCTTACACAATTGGCAACTGTGCAAATTCAATTCCCTTCTAATTAGGAGCCGTAGTTCAATTTAAGAGGGAATTGGGGGCAAAGTGTCGAGGGAAAAATCCCTCTGCCAATAGAAATCAGCCACGTCATTAAAAAAGGTATTATCACATTATTTCTCCACTAGCCCTCCAGTGCCCACTCTTGATCAAGCCCAAGTAAAGTCATCATTGGCCCAATGTTATTAACAATAACTTCTCGGCCTGCTAAAAGACCCGTCCGGCCCACTGACATTATGGTCCAAGCCCAGTTCAGTTCAATCAAATCCTGCCTAACAAAGGATCTTCCATAGAAGGAAACTTTCCATAGGAAGAGTTCTACATGGAAATAATTATATATAGAAGGAACCTTCTATGTAATGAATTATATATGGAATGAAATTTTTGTGGAAAAAACGTAGAGGACAAGTATAGCGAATCTTACGATAATTTTACCTCAATTTATATATAAATAGAGGCATAGACCTCCAATAAAGATCATCAAGCATTACAAACTTTTCTCTGAATTGTTCTTGTTATTAATTGTTCTTTTATTTGAGTGAGTTGTATTTATACTTTTGGCTTTTTAATTAAACGAATTTTTGCACCTACATGTATTAACACATTTTTCACAAAATTTAATCAAACGAGTCTTAGGTGGTCTTTGAAAACTTAATTAAATGTTAAATTTTGAATATATTAAACGTTTATTCAATTAAATGTATTTGATAAGACAATTTGAATATGATCGAAAACGGTAAGTATTACTTAAAATGAAATAAAGTTATTAATAAATGCTGAACACTAAAAATAAAAATAATTTTTTTATTTATTTTAATACCACACTTAAAATTTTAATCTTAAATTTTTGAGTAATTAATTTTTAATTTTATAACCGACGTTACTCAACCAAACAAAGTCCAACATCATATATGCGTTGATATATGAAGTTTCCAAGTAAGTTCATAGAATGGAAGATTACTGCCACTGTAGTTTTCATGTTCCGACACAAAAAAGAATTTTAATTTGTCACTCACAGTAAGGAGTGTCAAAAGTGGGGTACCTGTAAACAAAAGGCTCTATCAATCCAACACCAAGAGTTAACCTTTTACCTTAAAAAAAAAAAAAAACGCCAAGAGTTAAGAAAGTTGACACTCAAGAAAGTGACGCGAGGTCCAGAGAATTGTAACAAATGTCAATGATTGAATATTTGTTAGTAAATAATTACATGGTATGCCCTGTTTTGTGCATAAAAAATAGAAAATATGAGGAGAAGAAAAGAAATGGAAGAGGTATGCTATTCTGTACAGAGAGGAGTTATTACCACTGTCAAATTGCAGAGTCAGAAAGGAAACAATGAATGGAGTAATGATTTTGTTCTATGGAGCATGATACTTATAAGAAAGCAACGTTCTCGTAAAGGATATGTATTAAATATGTGTTAGGTATTGATATTTTATGAATATATGCAAATACATGTTCTATACTTAAACGTATTTATAATTTTAAAATATATATTTTAATTTCTAACACATATTCAATATTTTTTAAGCATTTCGGCTATGTATGTGACATTTTTTTAATATTTCATAATACATTTTTAACAAATTTTAACATTGGAAAATTTTTAACAATAATAACATAATATAATTGTTAAAAAAAAGTTCAAATTTTATTAGGTGATGACTAGGGATGCTTGTTTTATGTGTTGTGAAACGAACTTTTAAGTTTTATTAATGATTGCATTTAGATTCATAATATTTTAAAAAAATTAATCAAAAATTATTTTTTATAGATATATAAAAATAAAATTTATTATTATTTTTTTATTACCTTATCCTATTGTACCTGTACCCTATTTTTTAAAAAAAATTTCGTATCGCTGTACCCGTATCGTGTCGTATTGTATCCCGTATCCGTATATGCACTTCCTAGATTTTGTGTGATTTGTTTGAAATTAAAAAGAAATTAACCCTTCTGATTGAAAGGATAAAAATGATGCTTAAATTACTCCCATTGAAATCTTATATGCATAAATGATCTCTTACTGGCCGATAAAAAAAAAAATTATCCACACCATGCATGGATGACATTGGATATAAAAAACTTAATTGAAATGTTAAATACAAAAAATAATTTTTAAGAAATTCATCCATCCCATGCATGGATGATGTTGGATGTGATAACTACCTTTTTTACATCCAACGGGCCATCCATGCATGGTATGGATGATTTTTTTGCTCGGCTGGTGAGTAAAAGATCATTATCTCTATGTGGAAAGAATGTTTAGAGCGTTGAGGCCTAAAAAAGAAACAAGAATAACGTTTATGTGGTAGAAATGAGAAAGTTAAGATGAATGAGTAAAGTAACTAGAAGAGATAGAGGAAGTGTAAGAAAAAATTAGAGGTGACAACAATTGATAAGAAAATTATAAAGAGTAGATTTAGATGGTTGAGACACATACATAAATTGAAAATCTAGTGACGCGCTAATCTAACGAAGAAAGTGCTGAAAAGGTGGCCTAAAAATAATATGAGATCTAAAAATAATATGAGATAAAATTATTAAAAATGACTTAAAATATAAAAGATAGTATGTGAAAATGGCATGCAATGAAAAGATCGGAGATTCATAATTCATACCGCTCATGCTATTCATACGAAAGTAAGGCAAAAATAATGGTGATGTCGAGGGAGGTATGGCGTGTTTGGAGGGAATCCACTTAATTCCCTCCTTTTGTTCCCTTCCCATCTAGCTTTTCTCAATGTATTCTTTTCTTCCTATTCTTCGAGCCTAAGAAACAAACTACAAAACCCAACAATATTAATACTAATTTTAGGTAGCTACCAACAATAATACTAATTATAGGTAGCTAATATCTTATTAATTGCGTGTACCAACCTAGAATCAAATTTAGATGTCGTCAAGCATAACGGAAAGAAAAATACTTTTCAAAGGAAAAATATAAACGGTCTAGAGTCTCTAGACCATCTAAGAAAGAAAACCTATCCATACATATTGATGAGAAGATATAATACGAAAACTTTTATATATATATATATATATATATATTCGTCGCTCTCTCTTGTACTATTTGTTAAGCCTTCTTTTTCGATTTGAGTAGCATTGGTTTTAGTTTTGTTATGAATTCGAAAAAAAAAAAAAACAGAAAAGAAATAAAAAGGGTCATAATTTAAGTCACACAGAACAGAACAAAATTGAGAGCGAATTAAAAAATGGTAGTGCGATCGAAAAAATCTAAGCCATATAATATGGGAATGAACATGAGAGCATACTTAATTAAAACATGAGAGAAGTATTCGTTGTGAAAAATTACTCGTGAAAGATTACGTGACTTAGGTGATAATAAGTTTTTTTTTTTTTTTTTTACTTTAGCCTTGTTATGTGGTACCAAATTAGCATAATTGCTTGGTTAACCAGGGGTAGCCTCTAATGATTGGTGGAGATGATGAGGCCCAAGATGTTGTTGAACTTACAATGAGAATAACAAGTGATAAATGAATTCTGTTGGGGCACAGTTGATAGTTGGGGAGGTTGGAACTTCTTGGACAATATGAGGTCATAGTGGATAGTGGTTGAATGGTTTTGAATATGCGTGACTAACAGGGTTGTGATCATTAAATGCTTGGTCGGCTCATTTTGTAACGCCATACATGGCCAACTCCGACTCTGTCTGCTCTGGTTTCTTGGCTAGGTTAGTTTTGTGGCTTACATGCTAAGGTCAGCACACAATAGAGTTCTACTTCTCTTGTAAGGGTCCGTTTGGCATGTGCTTTGTTTTTGACGTTTTGTTTTTAGCTAAAACGGAAACAGTGTTTTTGCTGTAGGAGTGTTTTGGAAAAAATTCGGAAGCTCGTTTGGGAACGATGTTTTGCTATGAAAATGTCGAAAGCAAAAACATGCAAAACATGTTTGGTAAGTCATGCGTTTCAAAATTTTTGAAAACAAAATATGTTTAGTCAGTCCAACTGTTGTAAAAAAAAAAAAAAACATGTTTGGTTATCCTTGTTTTTTATTTGTTTTTATAAATTTTATGTATATTTATAAATAGTTATCATATTTTTAATAAATATGGAGAAATTTGAACCCACAAACATATATATATATATATATATATATATATATATATATATATATATAAATTTTTTCAATAACCTATTTACAAGTTGTTTGCAATAACTCACCTCAATTTTATTATCATTATACATGTATAGTCCAACACAACATTAAAAATAAAAATATTTCTAGTCACATTTTACTATACTACATGAGAATTAACATTTGTAAAAAAAATTAGTAATAACCTATTTACAAGTTCTTTGCAATAACCTGCTTCAATTTTATTATCCTGTTACCTGTATAGTCCAACACAACATTAAAATAAAAACAAACCCAACTGAAAGCATAATTGAAATAGAGTGTATACCATTTACAAGTCTTTAAATATTCAACCAACAAATTAAACAAGTTTAAGTTGTACATAAAATGTTTGGAACAAAGCATTAACAATATATAGTTGTCAGTAAAAATTGATAAGAAGTTCATAAAGTGGATGACAATGGCAACGACACATCATCTTCATAACAGCACATGTGGCCTTTAAGAGAACATCAACACACTTCATATCTGCAATAATAGCATTTAAGTTGAATTATATATCTGTAAAAATGATTTATATTACATATATATATTACAAGCTTACAATAGCAACAAATATATGACATATAAAAGAAAAAATATACCATCACTTTCAGAAGGATCAAAAGTGCTAAAGAGAATTCCAAATTCGATCAGCAATAGTATTACGCAACTGATCCATTTCTCGAAGCTGAGCCGAAGGCACATGCTCAACAATCTCATCATCTTCACCATCACTTTGAGGAGGATCGTTACTATCAAATAAATCATCAGGCTGATGCTGATTTCTGATGAAATTGTGTAATGTGCAACAAGCCATTACAATCAATACTTGTGTTGAAAACTTATAAGGAGGCATTGCCCTCAAAATAGCGAATCTCATCTTCAACAACCCAAAGCATCGCTCAATTATATTTCTCAAAGATGAATGCCTATGATTAAACACTTCCTCCCGACCACGAGGTTGTCTAGTCCTACGATATTCCTGAAAGTGGTAAGTATGACCTCGAAATGGGGCCAAATAACCAGGCTTGTTGGCATATCCTGAGTCCACCAAATAATACTTACCTGCCATGTTTAAAATACATAAAGATATATACAGTAAGATAAACTAACCATATATTAAGTGAATTTGTAAGATAATATTACCTGCTGGTGGAGCTGGAAAGTTCATTGCCTCATTCTCAATACACTCCTTTAGGATTCTCGAATCATTAGCGGAGCCTTCCCGCCCAGCTAGCACATATGTGAACCTCATGTCAAAGTCACATACAACCATTACATTTTGTGTGGTATAACCCTTTCTACCACGAAATGGAAGTTGTGTACTTGCTGGCAGAGTTGCAGGAATGTGGGTTCCATCTATAGCTCCCACGCAATTCTTGAAGTAAGGGAAAAACCTAGAAGACTCTCTAATCTTATTCAGAATCACAGAAAAATCAGGAGGGGCAATGATATGGGTGCCTAACTGACATACTACATGTAACACAGCATGGAAGTGTCTGGAAATGGTTTCAGTGGAGTGTTGAAATCTCTCAGCTACAACACGATTCCTTTGATTATGAGATAAAGTGAGCAAAAAGATTGCCACTTGTTCATAAACAGTTAAAAATTTAGAATCTTTCAGCCCTATACCTTTCAGGGTACTACACAATATTCTAAAAACTTCAGGGTACATCCTAAAATTTTCATAACATCTTTCTCTGTGGCCGTTTAAAATCTCCATAACATACGTTTCCCCTTGTAAAATGGAATCCCTACAACGCCTCTTTTGATAGAAGTTCTGCTCTTCTAAAAGAGTAGCAAATATTAAGACACTCTCATTGTCCTCCTCATCGTCATAAAATTGAATTATTCTTCTTATATGATTCCACATATCCATTGCCCTATTTAAAGATTTAATAGAAGTAAAGCATTTAAGTTAATAAGCAAAACAATTAAATAATAAACAAAATATTTAAATAATAAACAAAGCATTTGAGTTAATAAGCTTAACATTTAAGTAATAAATAAAATATTTAAGTTCATAAGCAAAACATTTAACTTAATAAGAAAAACATTTAAATAATAGCAGTACAGTCATCCAAGAAATAAAAGTATTTAGTTATTACAGTCATCCAAATGTGAGATAGTAATAGGTTAAACAAACAACAAAACACAATCATCCATAAAGAAAGACTCAAACATTTAATGCCCAACCAATTCTTATCTCCTCAGGAGAACTGAGAAAAAATTTCTGCCACTTCTCAGAATCATGTAACAACTTCGATACCTTAGCAAATTGGGCCATCTCAATTCCAGGTATTTTTTGTAAAAGGAGCATGCAGGCTTCAAACATTTCATCATCTTTATCCTTTTTAGAGGGAGAGAGAACTTCATCATCTCCTTTCTCACATGAAGATACACGAGTAGAAGTAGAAGATGCTTTAATTGCTTTCTCTATTGCAGCTTCCATTCTCTCAGTTCTCCTCGCAGAATTCTCATCCATGCCTGACAAGAGTGCAGCCATACTAGGAGATAAACTATCTCTTTTGGCTTTCTTACTTTTACGTAAAGGTGGGGGACTGACATGACAACCCTCTTCCTCATCATCGTCATCATTGGGAGTGGGCAAATGATTGTGGGGGGTGCTGTAGTGGAGGGGTGGGCATGCATTCCTGTTACATATGTGTCCCCAAATATAGTCGACATCTTGTCAAAATGCTTATATCCATGTCTACGAAACTTATTTGTACCCTTAATAACCTACAAAATTTTGTTACAATATTAACCTCATAACAAATAATATACGATATTTTATTATTTATTTAGGACTAATAATTAAATTACTAACCTTGCTCAACCTGCCCCATCTCTCTTCCTCAACTATAACCATGCCCGTCTCATGGTTATATCCCACGCCAGTCTCCGATAACAATTTCTTAAACTCGATATAAATTGTCCTCAATTGGTTAAACTTATTCCGAAGTTGGGTTTTGTCAAATTTTATCCCTGTTTGAACCTTCATTTCTTTTACCATAGTAGTCCAACCTTTTGGATTAAATGTTGTGTTAGTACGATTGCCAGCCCTAACTTGTTCCTCCATAATATTACAGAATTTTTCAGTAAGTGAGTCATCCCATAACACTTTTCCATCTTTCATAACTTCAGCCACCCCTTCTTCTTCAATTGTCAGATATTCACCACATTGTTCCACATTCTCAACATTGATATCCATCTAACAGATTAATAACAACACTATAATTAATAACAACAAAAATAATATATATTACTTCAATAACTCATACTATTACTTCAATAACTCAAAGCCATATAAGTTCAAGCATCTCATGAGTTAAAAGTAATTCAATTGGGGATGGAACTTGAGAAAAATAGAAGAGAAAAATAGATCTCTAGCAGCAATTCAAGCATCTAATGAGTTAAAAGTAAAACAATTGGGGATGGAAATGTGAATTAGGGCACGAACCCTTGAATTGGACCAATTATATATATATATATATATATATATATATTCCCTTTCGTTTACTTCAACATTTTATTACTCAGTTTTCAATATTATTTTCTTCGCAGCCAAATGGTAAAGAATTACTGTGAACAAATGGTGGTTCAAAAAGATGTTGACAGATGCAGCTCCACAAGTTGCGGCGAGAAAAGGGAATAGAATTGATACAGTGTACAATCAGTTCTAAGTTTGTAACTTGGAAGTTATAACGATCATTATATTCGCTAGGCCATTTTTTGGGCTCTCTGGTCCTCTAGAGTGATGCAACATATAGGACCCACCTTTCCACTATCTCACCCATTAATCACTCAGTTAATTTTTATTTATTTATTTATTTATTATTATTATTATATATGTTAAAAAAAAAAAAAAAAACCCCACATGCGCACTCACTTTCTTCCTATTTAAACTTCAATCCTCACTCCTTCTATTTTAAAAATCGAGAAAGTATTACTAAATTACGGTACTGCCTCTCCTCTCTACCACCACTACATTTGTTAATTTTTTGTAATTCATACCACATTCAAGAAATTTGAACCAAGCTCAAACCAACCCGTGTGTCTATATATATATATTTCCCCCTCTTTCTAAGACAAATTTTTAATGCATAAGCAGTAAGATATATAATGAATGAAGATATGCAATAAAATAGGGTGAATATTGGGACATGATTTTAACCATCCAATAAGCCAAACAAGTGCACAACTACCACATTACCGATCATCCATTGACCCAAATGGCCCAGCATTATCACTCATTCTTTTCCAAATGGGAGGTTGGGAGTTTGAACCTCGGTGGAGGTAGTAGGATGTGTACATATTTGCTTAAAAAAAAAAAGTCATTCATTGACCCAAGTCACAACGCTCCAGTAACATCAACCTGCATCACCACTATCTACCCAAAATCCAACACCACTCTTGTGCCACATCCAATTCAACTTAAAATCAACATATCTACCAAAATAAACACCATTAAAAACCTCCTCTTTTTTTTCTTTTTCCTTTTTGTTCCTTTTTCTTTTCTATTGCACTTTCTGGACTACTTATTATAGGATGATTTTTTAACTTTACAGAAAGGGAAACACTACAAACGTCAATGACACAATGTTGTTGTTGTTGTTTTTTATTTATACAAGTCTGTGTTGTTGTTACAAGAGATTACAGCTAAATTGCATAATAAAACCTTCCACTCAAGTTGTGCAATGTACTAGACTTATGACTCTAAATTTTACCATTGTCCTGTCAAAATTATGCAAATTTATAAAAAGTTGTAAATGAACGCAGAAGATATGACCAGTATAATGAGAAAGATAAATTAATTAACATAAAATTACAGACACTGTGTTGTTTCTATCACTGTTAACAAGAGAACCTTCACAAAAATAGACTGGACGCAATACAAGTAGGCAAATTAGCCTTAGAAATTGAGAATCAACCATGTGGGTTGAATGAGGGCCTGTTTGGGAGATGTTTTGACGAAGTAAGAATACAGTAGTTTACTTTTCCTTACAGGGTCTAATTTTTAGTAGCCAGTTGTTGCAATTCAAGAATGTTTTATTTTTTAAGCATGTAGTTTCACCACAAACATATATAAGCAAGAAGGCACATTCCTTATAGCACAACTTCAATGTAATAGAAATTCATAAATTGCACTGCAATGATTCAGTAGGCCCAAGTTACCAATAATCTAGATGATGTCTACAATGTTCTAATGCGCACTGCACAAATACTGCAATTTGCAGAGATTGGATGAAGTCAAACATATATTTCAATTCAATTAATTTTAACAACAAAGCTTATCTGCCCAATACATACTTTCAGTCAACTTCTAATCCCTTGTGTTAACACAAACACATGTACAAACACATACAAATACAAACATACACACGCATTAGCATTATAAAAGTTGCTTTTGTAATAATAAAAAAATGGCCGACTCCCAGAAACTAAATTGAAGAACAAATCATGAAGCATATCTAATATAACAAGTCTAATAATTAGGAAATTCATCAATCATCATGCCAATGCTATTTCAGTGAAGTATTCAAGGAGTGAAACTAGGATTCTGAGAACTCGAAGGTACAATTTGTACCTAAGAAAAACAACAATCCACAACAAGTAACTACGAGTTTCAATTTTTTTTTTTCTTTCTCTTCTTTTTCCAGCGTTTTCTTACCAAACAAACGGAGATTAGGGTTTTGAAAAAAGAGATGGGGAAAATGAAATTACCAACGGCGCCACCAAGAGCACCACCGATTGCAACGCCTGCTGCAATTTGAGTTAGACAGCTATCCTTCGCCATACCTATTTTCTCTCACTAGACTCTCCTTCCCTCCCTCTTTCTCTCTCTACAGATTGGTGACTGAGGGTTTACTTGGGTTTTATTTGAGGTTTTAATGAAAAGGATCAATTGGTGGAAGCCGAAATAACACAAGAGGGGCAAGAACGGTTTCACAGAGGAAAATAAAATGGAGGAAAAGATAAAAACAAGAGAGAGAGGCATGCACCTGGTTAGAGATCGTCGAAGAGATCGGCCGAAAACAGTGGAATCGTCCTTCTCAGTTGTTGCCCAGCCGTCGCCAAGAATCGCCCACAATCGCCAGACCCTAGATTGTTGCAACTTTTTGATTTTATACGTGAAACAAGTGTTACATCCGCTACAGTTAAATGCCCGTTTTTGCTTCTTCCGCTACAGTAATTCTTACCCCAAATAAAACCAAAACAACAAAAAACACCAATTTGGTGTTTCATATTTTGGGCCCAATTTTGAAAATGTTTTACAACTGTTTGAAACACAACAAGCCCAACCAAACATGTTTTGGGCTTAAAAGAGGTTACTGTAGCAAGTCTAAAACAAAACAAAACATCTCCCAAACAGGCCCTAATTATTCTAAAAAATTTTGGGCGTGGCAAAATTAAATAAGCATATTCCTTTGACTAAGATTCGGGATATGGTGCACATGAACTTGCCCAAAGACAAAGATTACCACTTCATATATTGGAGGTCGGGAGTTCGAATTCCATAAAATCACATCTTGGAAATTTTCTAGTAATTACTTTGGGCAAGTGAGATGAGAGACTGAATATGATCAAATGTGAATTATGGGATTGATGCTCTAAGTGGTCTGAGTCCTAAGTCACATAAAGCGAGTGCGAGAGGGAGCCTGAAAACGGTAAAAATTTAAGTTAAGTGGGAGGAAATAACAGCGAGAGCGCGCAGAGCACAAAAACGAAAGTGACGCGAAGTGTAAGAGCAATACCCGTTTAGAAGAATTATGTGATTTAGGATCTGACGCAACTAAATTTTGTATTTTTTATTTCAAAGGGTTTATACTTGTTCATTGTAAACATGTAAATAGTTGTGATAGTCTGACAGACTAACAAGTCCTGTTTTGCCTCCGCTTAGATCTTTGATCTATATCGGGTTTTGGTGTCCTCGCCTTTTTGTGCGGGGTTTGGATGATTTTTTTTCCAATCGGCGGCGCCTTGTGAATGCAGTCTTGGAGCTATTGCCTTAATGATGGCCTGATCTTTGGGTCACTCCTGTTGCTGCTCTTCTCTCTGGGTGGTCCGCTAATATGTTTTGGTTTGTTTCTCAATATATCGGAGGCCTATTTCTTTTCTTTTTTATTTTATTTTATTTTTTTTGTTTGCCTTTTTACGATATTTATGACTGCGTTTGTAAATACCATATGATTATTTTTCTTGCCAGGATAAAATAATAAAAAAGTCCTACTCTTCCTTTGCAATGACCAAAAAGTTTTTAGTTGTTTTCTACAATATACCAAAAAGTTTTTAGTTGTTTTCTACAATATATATATATATATATATATATATATATATATATATATATTATTAATGCTTCCGTATTAGTTTCAAATCTCACATTCTCCAGTTTCATCCCTCCTCTCATCTCTCCCTCTCCCTTCCTCCCCTCTAATAAAAAGACAAATACTAAAATTAATTAGCACAACTTCACTTTTTTATAAATGCATTCCTCTTTTATAGGAAATGTCATTATTGTCCTAATTTAATAAATAAGAGAATTAAACATTTATGAAATTAGATATACTGTTTTTCACATTAAGGAAAGAAAAAAAAAAAAAAAGAATAAGTAGAGTTCATTTTGAAAAGTGGAGTGCGAATATCATTACCCTAAAGATTATTACAAAATATACTTAGTTCCATTTTCTAAAATTCTAAAAAGTAGAAAATAGTATTTGGAGAATTGAAAAACTATTTTAGAAGGAAAGTATTAATTAAGCCTAAAAGGCTTGCAAAGAGGCTAACCGAGGGCTTGAAAGTCTTTGATTTATTCAAATGGGATCCATATAGCATCATCTTTTTAAAAACAAGACTTGCCTACTCACATGTGAATAGATCATTCCTACTATAGCTAATGTGGTCCAATTACAAAAGTACAAGTAATTTGTAACTACAAAATCAAGAAAGTGATAAATAAGGACATTAATTTTTTTTTTTTGGGAATAAATTCAGTCACCTTACCTCATTTCCTTATTTATCACTTTCTAAATTTTGTAATTACAGATTATTTGTGCATTTGTGATTGAACCACATCAGCTGTCATTGGGATGACATATTCACTGGTGAGTAGGCAAGTCTTGTCATTTTTTTAAACATTTTTTAATAAACAATACATGCCGATGGAGAAACATTCTCTTTATAACTAATGTGTCATAATTTCACTGGACCACT